GAGAGCGTCGATATTCGATGAATGTAATTTTTTTATTTGGAAGGAAAATTTTTAAAATGAAATTGAACCACCAGATGTCGGTCTGACACGCGTCAAATTGTCAAATTTTCCTCGATGGTCCTCCGAAAATTATTTAAAAAATAATTGCTAATATGTCTAGGCATTTGCAGTTATCGAAAATAGTGCGGTATTTAGACTACTCGAGATTGTCAATTCGATTTCAAAATTCTTCGAGACGATATCTTGTTCGATCGTTTGCGAGCATTAGAGTCGACGAGACCCTGCAGAAGACACCCAAGACGTTGATCCTGAGGAAAGAGTTAACCAAAAAAGAAATTGTTATTGAGAATGGAGACACTGGGGATAAACGGCTGGTTAGAAGATTTTTGCAGATTTTCCTGGTTCTCATACGCGTTGTTTTAATCACGTCCATCGCTTCTTTATTGATTACTCTGTATTATATCAGCCCAAAAATGTACTCTGCATCATTGCTCCGAGGTAATTATTCCTGTCTATATTTAATCAACTCTGAATTGACAAAACGATTTCATTTCCCGAAAATCATTCAACGAAATCGAAAAAAACCGCCAAAATTTGATAAAATACTCAATTTTCCTTCGATTGAATCCTTCAATAATTTTAAATACGCGCGCTGTTATATAAAACACTCGGGTCTTCCCGAAAAAAATTTAATTTGTTTAATTTGATTGATTAATTAAAATTATTAAGACTTAATATTCCTTTCTGAAGATATAGATCATTAAATAAAATATCATCAAAAAATAAAAATTAATGGATGCCTGGTTGTTGAAGCGATGGAATTTTTGGGCTCCACCTTCGTGAAGCTTGGACAATGGGCATCGACAAGGCGGGATTTATTCTCCGAAGATATCTGCGATGTCCTCTCACATCTCCAAAGACAGAGCAGCACTCACTCCTGGATGTACACCAAGTGTTTAATGTCCGCGACATTTGGTCCGGAGTGGGAAAATTTGTTCAGAAGAATTGAGAGAAAGCCCATTGGTTCAGGATGCTGTGCGCAGGTATTTGAGGATGGCACTGGGAGGTCGTTCGCCCCGGAAACCGAAATTCAGTGATATCGCCAATACTTCTGGCCCGATGTTATTGACCTTTTTGTCACTCAGGGACGCATCACAGGGATAAAAATTCAAATTTAAATTAGAATCGCGGCCATGTCATTACGATAAAAATTGTAACACCAATCTCAAATTTTACGAGACTCACACGTAATTGTTCTTTATAATTTGCATTACTAAATTACATGACAATTACAATTAACGAATCTCATAAAATTTCGGGTTTATTTCTCTTTTTTTTGCCTTTCACAATGTAATTTTCCGGGAATTTTGCAAATGTTGTTTCATCGGAATTTTTTCACCGTTTAGTAAACAATTATTTGATCAGTCATTTGATAATTTAATTGTTTAATTATTTAGGTTTACAGAGCGTGGGTTAGGAGCGAAAAGATGCAACTCTATCGGGCCAGTGATAATTCCCATTTACCGGGCTATGTACACGGTAATTGCGTTCGTATTTATGAG